CCAGTCGGTTTTCATCAACCGGCAACCAGGGATGCAAATCAAATGCCACTTGACTCGACACCAACGTCCGTGCCAAATTCCGTCTGACGCGCAGGGATCGTTGGAGGTGTCGGTGTCCTCATGTTCCGACGCTGTGCAGGGTGCGACAGCCGGGCGGGAACCGGGAAAACATTTGCTACAGCGGAGGTGGGCAGTATTAACTGGTATGTCTTTACAGATGCGGTATTCGGCCTGGTTCTTGCCAAAGGGCCAACCGCAACGTGTACGCCACCGGCGTGGGTGGATGTCTAACTTATAGATCAGTGTGATGTGATATCTGCCGCCTTTTGCGGTGTTTAAAATGTTGACACCTGGCAGATTTTCATCGGGCACACTGAGGTGCACTGAGGCTTCGCAATCTTCCAACATTTGCGATTCCGGAGGCATGAAGGTTGCTTTGCAATCCTTGATGCGTTGTTGGAGTGTGCTGAGTTCCTCCTGGGCTTTGCGCACCGACATGGCCGCGGTAGATTCTAGTGCCAGTTTGTCCAGTTGCGCGACTGGGGCATCTTGGATGTAGTGTAAGAACACATCCGACCCCCATCGGCCGAACAGCTGAATTCGCCACAACTCAATGTTGTGCAGGGCCATGAACCGGGCTCCGGTAACTCTGGCGCTGTGTCCAGTGTACGCTCTTGCCCCGTTGTCGTGCACCGTGGGCAACTGAAGCCGTTTGGCGATTGCCTCAAAGGTATCGGCCCAACCTTTCTTGGTGGATTCCAATCCGTCTTCAGCTGGGAAAAGAAGTTGTTCGGGTCCGTCCGGCAGCCTGTCCAAATGTTCCAAAAGTACGTGGAAAGGGCACAACCTCTTGGTGTGCGCGGAGCATGCGCACGTGTGTGACCGCGTCGCTCCAAGGGCTGCCTGATCCGTCTTCGAACTAGGTAGTCGCCATGATGCTTTGAGTGTGGCTATCTCGATGGTCACGTGTTTGCGGCGTGCCCGAGATGCCTCAATCTCACGCAAAAGCCACCATGATGCGAGTATGGTCGCTGACACTGGGTGTGTTGGACCGCCTGGGGCTAGAGCACTGTCGCCCAACAACTCGGCTACCTGCACCAAAGGGAGGTGAGCCGCCTGCTTGGGATGTCCAATGCCGCGCTTGCAACTGCGCACGGCGGACCGGTAGGCTTGTTGAAGCTGGCAATCCCATGGCTGACCGAGGGCAATGTGACAGTTCTTCGCAGTGTCCAGGTAGAGCTGCGCTGATCGATACCCTCCAGTCTTGAGAGCCCCCATAACGGTGAAGATCATGTTTGGGTCCAAGTGGAAGGGGTCTGACCATCCTGCGGTCACGGCCAGCGTAGCCCAAAGTTTCTGACGTGATGCGGCCGGACCTTTGGTCGACTCCGCCATGATGTCTTTCGACAGCTCCGCTCTGCATGCTTGCGGGTCTTGTGCCGCGGCGATGGCTGCCTCTGCCGACCCTCTGCCGTAAGGCTTGGGTTCACCCGAGCCCCTGTCCCGTGGCCCTCCGCCCGGAGTGTGGGGAGCAGTGACCGATGCCGCGGAGGCCGGCCTGTCCAGTTAAGGCAAACCCTTCATGCAGGAGTGTCGGTCTACTGCGCGCCGTTGGGGGCACGCCCGGGTATGAGGCGAGTGAGCGCTTGAACGGCATGCTGCAGCGCCGAGCGAAAAGTCTCGGATCGCCTTCCCCCCCCGAAGAAACCGCACCGGAAGACAACTTAGGGGTTCGAGCGACTTGGACAAAGTCTCCCTCCCTTCCCGCCCGGTGGGTTCAGCCTCGCCTCTTTCTCAGGTCTCGGTCCGCGTCAGCCACGTTCTTGGCTGTCTCAGAGGTCTACCTTCCAGAAGCTGGGCTCGAGGCTCACCGGAGTGTGCTCGACGGACCGCAGGTATTCTGGAAACTTCGGAGCGACCGGTCGGGACAGAGCGTCTGCCTCTAAATTGGTCACCCCTGGGATGTGGCAGAGCCAATGAATGCGATATGACCTGAGGGCTTGGTCAATGGCGAATTCGCGTGCCAGTGCATTGAGTTGGGATGAGGCGGCTCCTCCCTTAGCCAACATGCACAGCACGCCCATGTTATCTGAACGGGCCCGCACTGCGGCGGAGTGTCCTAATTGCGGCAGCCACAATCGGAAGGCCACCAGCAAAGCAAGACCTTCCCATAGAGTGTTGTATTTCGAACATCCCGTGACAGCTTTAAATCTGCTCAGCGCATTGGCTGGGATGTTGCTGGAAAAATATTTCGTCGCTTGACTCCCCACCTTTAAAATCCCGCCAATTCCCCAGGGGCTGGCGTCTGTGGTGATCTCTGCGACGACTTGTGGTTGGTGGCTCTCCAAGACTCTGCACAGCGGAGCGGATTTCCCACCTAGCAACGCCCGGATCCATTTCAATGCCGGGCGGATCCTTCGGGTGTGCACCAGCTTTCCGGGAGTTCGAAATTTCCCCTCTCCGTCATTCGCAGGTATGCAACTACCCAAGGCTGCCCATATTGACGACAGGAATGGGCGGAGGTGTGTTACCAGCCCGGCTACGAAAGACAAGGAGCCTGCGTAGGAGCGCAACTGCTTCCTGCCGACCACCGGTCTTTTGAGCATCAGGTCTGTGGTCTCCCTCAGCTTCTCTACCTTGTCAGTGGGTATGGTGACCTTGACTGTGCTCGCCTCGTCGTCCAGCTCGAGCCTGGCTCCGACCCAGTTGATGGCCTTGCCTCCTTCGGCCTTTGACAGCTTCACGGGGAAGCCTGCTATGGCGAACCACAGCATCAACGATGTGAGGTCGAGGGCAGCCTGCTCGAGATCGCCGGCCAGCACGAAGATCGGGTCGTCTACATAGATTTGTGCGCTGGCTTTCGGAACGATGGCTGCAAAAGCTCTCCCCAGCCATGCGGCGAAGCGGCCCCAGATTGTTGGGGAACTCCCAGCCCCAAACACCAGGGCGTCGAAGACAATGAGCTCCATGCCTTCTTGGGGTTTGGCCTTTGGCCGTGCTGCGACCGTGAACCTTTTGTCTGGTCCCGCCGGCACGTTCATGAAGGCGTCTTTGACGTCCACTGCCGCCAGCCACGGTTGGCGTCCATCTCTGTACACTCGCACGGCCTGTTGAGCCACATCGAGCAACCGTGGGAGGATGATTCTTTCGCCTTGGTGGCAGATCTGGTTGGCCCGGGATTCCTTGAGGTCCCAAATGATTCTGCTCTTCTTGACGCCCTGGTGGTTGAACTTGGTGATGACTCCCAGCTTGTTCAACACGGGCTCGCCTCCCAGTTCCTGCGCAGCTTGTTCCACACTGCCAATGATGTGGCAGAAACCCCTCTGGACGTAGTCTTCCACGAGGGTCTCCAGATCTTGGGCCTCCTCCTCCGCGGACTTGTAGTTTTGCCAGCCCTCGATGGACCTGTACAGCTCGTGCTGAGAGATTTGTGAGCTGTCGTCCCGGGGCACTGGTGGAAAGATGCCCGCTGCAGGTATGGGCTCGCTGTACCCCAGTGGTGCTCCATGATCCAACCATTGACATAAGTTCGTGGTGTCTGGATCTTGAGTGGCTGTTCCCCAGGCCTCTACGATGTTTGCCTCTAGTGGGGTGTCTGCCTTGGCCGTCCTGTTTCTCGGAGCGTACGGTCTGCCCAGAGCTTCGGCCACCTTGACTCTCAGCCCGGTCACGACCTCTTCCGGGAATGGGCTGGCCACTCGACCGGTGAGTATGTCGCGACCGATGGCCGTAAGTTCCGGTGAGGCCCTCTGAGTCTCTTCGAGGATTAGCCGCACCATTGCTCCCGGCCCCTTCATCGATGGCAGGCGCTGGACCGCCAAATGCGGGTTTCGCATCCCCCCGATGGCCACCCGGTTCTCCTCCTCTCTCTGAGTCGGTGGCCGGAGAGTGGAGGCGTCAGGAACCGAAGGTGGGTCTCAGAGCATCTCCTTGCGGAGCTGCTCCATCTTCCACTTGTCGTCGACGTTCTTGTGGAAGGCGACCGCGAGGATCTTGCTCAGGAGTTCCGTGTGCTCGCCCTGGGACTTCGAGGCTCTCTGCATCTTGCCGTCCACCTGTTCCCACCTCTGTACGGTCGGGTTGTGGGCTGCCTCGAAGGTGGTGCCGTCCTCTCGAGTCCATACTTTCTTCTCGTGGTTGCACCTTTTGTCCTTCAGGGCGGACAGCTCCAACTTCTCTGTGTAGAGTTTGGTCGGCTTGGTGGTCTCGAGGCCAGTGATGCATTGGTCGAAACGTGTGATGTCGACCCCTTGCCACCTTGGCATGTCCTCGATCCGGGGCATCATCCAGAGTGACGGCTTCCCTGCTGGATGGTCTGGATTCTCTAAACCCCAAGGCCTGACCTGCTGATGGAGCTTGTGCGCCACTTTGTAGGAGCGATGGACTAGGATGTTGGAATCCCTCAACTGAGCTGCTTCAGCTTTTGTCGGGTCTGGGATGCCGGTGATGTGGTCGATGGTTCGGATCACCCGAGGCCCCGGCGGCTTCTCTCTGAGAGGTGAGAAGGTGCCACAGGGCGTGGCGATCCACCCGGCCTGAAAGAACTCGGCGTCCAGGTCTTTCTTGATCTCGTCCCAGACCTCATCTTTGGTGAGGTCAGTCGGCGTTGGGAGGACCGTGTCCAGGCTGCATACCAGCCACCCGAGTCTGGCCATTTGGTGGGCGAGGTCGCCTTCCCTAGATCTTCCGGAAAAGACGATCAGCATCCGTGGTTTCTTGGAGGTTTCACCCACGGTGCTAGACCACCAGCCGTACCTCCTGGGAGGTTCCTTCAACGCCACGACTGGCCTGAGCCCGGCAGACCCGCCTCCCTGAGACCCTGAGGCGGGAGGTGAAGGGTTCTTGCTCGGTTGCGATCTGGAAGACTCGGCCGCCGACTCCTCTTCGTACACCAGCTCTTCTTCTTCCTGGTCGTCGACGGCTCCTTGCCGACCTTCTTCGGCCTCCTTCCTTTGTTTCTTTGTGGGCGGTGCCTCCGGCGACTTCGGGGCTGCCTTCCTCTTGATGGCCAGGCCCGGAATCTTCCGAGGGCCCGCAGCTTGCGCCGATGGAGGTACTTTCTTTGGCTGTTTCCCTCCCGACGCGTTCATGTCAGCTGCACGCGAGCCGGAGGAAGTCTTTCCCCCGGCCGCGATTGCGGGTCAGTCCTTCTTGGCCCCAGTGCAATGAACGCCCTGGTGCGGACCTAGGCACTTGTTGCACTGATGGGATCTCTTGGACTTGCATTTGCCCTGGGCTTGCTTCGACCCGCACTTGTCGGCATTGTAGAGGCGGCAAATCTCGACACCACGCCGGTTGTGCGAATAGGTGCCGTCAGTCCCCTTCCGGGACTTGTCTTCGCCCTTGTAGGTCCTGTTCGACCGGCCTGCCCTTCTTCTCTTCGCCTCGCCGTCCGGAAGCTCTTCATCATCTCCTCCCGTGGGGGCCCGCTTCGAGCGTGCCAGAAACAGGGTAGTTGGTGTGGTGAGCTCCTTGTTCCAGAACTCTGTGTCCTTCACGGCGTAGGCATAGCAGGCGTTCCAGGGCGCAGCTGCTGTGAAGCCGAAGGTGGGGTTGGCGTGTAGCTCCCGCCTCAGCCTTTCGAGCTGCTCAGAGCGCATGCGGCTGTCGGCCTTACAGATGAACGGCCATGCCTCCTCTCCGAATTGGGTGACAAACCCCCGGATGTGTTCGGCATAGGCATCCAGCCGTTCAGCCTCCGCCGCCTCCAGCAGGAGGAGTGCAGTCCTGTAGCACCTCCAAGCTTTGTACCATTCATAGAAGGAGCCAGGTCCAGGCTGCTCTTTCTTGGCCCATTCGCCCGTGGAGACGTTGAGGCTGTAGCTCTGAAAGGTCTGGCGGCGAAGGAGGCGCTGACCATGCGGGCCAAAGATCGAGAAGTCGGCGTACGGGACCGCGTGTGCCGCTAGGACCTGACTCAGTGCGGCCAACTGATCACGGCTCACGTCGGCATCCACACTGGGGAAGTCTCCATAGCGGTTGCGGTAACGCTCGTACATGCCTGTGACTTCAGCATCACCCAACGGCTGAATCTCTGCGTCCAGCGTCGGGTCGAGGACTGCGCTCAACTTCAACTTGCGAGCCTGTGGACCCCCTGGTGCGGGTGCCGGAGCCCCTCCCGCTGCGGGGAAGGGGGCTGGAGCTACCGCCGGAGCGGCCGCTGCTGGATCGCCTGGCAGGTCGATGGGTCTCCCCGACCGTAAGCAACAGACTCTCCTGAAGCATTCCAGCCGTGCCTCCTCGACCGGAGTGAGAACTCGAAGCGGCGGCCTAGGGTCTCCTCCGTCTTGGATCTGTAGGCCTGCCACCACCCGATCCCAAGTCGGCCTGGGAATGAGGGCGATCTCTCGTACCCGTGCGGGTTGTCCCAAGGCGGCATGCAGGGCGTCAGCCAGGGGTCCTTCCACCCCGCACCAAGCGCGAGCCTCCGCCAGGTTGGTGATGGTTTGAAGTTCACCTTCCGTGGGGTCCATGGTTCACCACCGGGCCTTCGTGGAGTAGAGGTGCTCCTGGCGTGGTAGATCTCCTTCGTGCACGACGGCCCTGTGTCGGGCGAGACCCTTCTGTGTTGCGAAGGGTGAACCTCTTGTAGCCGTTGAAAGCTACGCCCACTCGGCGCCTCTTGTTCACGAACTTGATGGCGCGCCGCGTCAGTCGTTCCCAGGCGACCAGGGCTTCTTCACCGGCCGTAGTCCGGGGGGGCAGGTGCACGGCAGCACGCCCACCCGACTGCGATGCCGGCAAAGAGTGTCAGTGCCCACACCACACCCAAGATGACCAGAGGATCAAAACCTCCCTGGTCCTCGGGGATGGCAGAAACCACCAACTCGCCCATGCCCACCTGTGGTTCGACTCAGCTGGAGCCAAAATGGCATACGGGGAAGGAAGTAACCTCTACCACACTCATGCATTGTCAACTCCACAAAATTGTGTTCTCTCTACAAATTTTCCTGCACAACTTTGGGGTGGCCAAAACCAACAAAACAACAGAATGGCATTGCATGACGTGTTCCATGATACCATCGCGAGGTCGTGTAACATGGCCTTTGTCACAGCCCCTCGAAATCTCCCACGCTGCGGACTTCTGCTGTCCTGGATGCGATTGGTTGCAAGGATCAGCTGCAATTGCGAGCTGGAAGCACCCGTCTGCGCCAAGAAGAAAGACCTCGCTGGTCAGTGTCCCGAATCAGTCTATTCGCCCAAAAGTTCCCCAGCCGCAGTTGTTCAAATGGCAAGAAATTTCACCAGCATCTTGCAACAACCATTTACAAGTATGTCGTTGTGCTTGGTCAACTTCCAGTTTTAAACTTTCGCCAACCCAACTGTCAACTGTGGTTTGTCTTAAATGTTGGGCCGTTGTGCACTGGTAGAAGGGCCTGACTACGACTTATTCTACGTCTTGATTCTTTTGACTGGCTGTGATTCATTCAGAAGAACATTATCTAAGTATATAGCATTTACAGTGTATGTATGCTATATTATATAAAATATACTACATACCATATTTTTTTACTCAGGCTCACCACACGTATCATGTATGAAGGTGATAGTGTCGTGAGCCAGATACTTGCTTGCTTGTCACGGAAGGTTCTCAAGCTTGTTGGGCAACGAATCCCTGCTGATCTTATTCAGGAACATGTGTTGATGCTTCGACCCCTGAAAATTCATCCAGATGGGGGTTCATGGACCGTTCATGGACCGTTAACTCAAAAAGGATGTTCGACTTGTCTGGGACAGGTGAGATGGTGCACGATTAAACGGAGACCTTTCAACAGGGCTTATATGCTGGGGTTTAGAAGTCCCAATCCTTTCATCATTGCGGATCTCTTCTTGTGCAAGGTCAGGCTCAGTTGCCAATATGCACAAGGGTTCTGCCCCATGATTGACGATGCCGAACACTGGAGATTCCGAATGATCTTGTTTTCACGCCTGCCAGGATGGGTTGGCTTTTCCATAGTCCAAAACAAGGACCGGGCTGGTGTCCGGTCCTGGTATCCTCGACCAATTCTCACATCTTGTACCCTGTCTATAGAGAATTCAACCATAACTCCACATCTCCAGATGAGAGCCGAGCAGCACCGCTGCCTGCACATAGGAGTTGCTCTGTGAACTCCGGCAACAAAGGAACGCCTCCGCCTCATCGATGAAGAGCAGCAAACCCCGTGAGGACCTGATCGCGCGAGGAATGCGGGAGCTGGCTCACAATTGTTTGTGATCTGGCTGGAATCAGCTGTTTGGCCAATAAGCAATTCATGAGCCTGACGGATGGCTAGTAGGTGCAACTTGCTCCACAAAAGCCACTGATCAAACCAACCATCTGCAATCATCGGGGCGGGGTTCACCTTCTTCCCCCGCCTGCGCGCCCAGCGAAAGACGCGGCGCAGCTCTGGGACGGCCTCTTCCTTCAAACCCAAGATGTTGCCACCCGAGAGGATGGCATAGTCCTCCAGCAAGAGACTGAAGACATTCAATCATGGGCCAATTCGTGGAGGGTCTGGCCGTCTGGCTCTTTGCGGTGTGACACCCTACAAGCTCCGAGCCATGTCCATCCGTCCAAACCCGACCTCCGCGGGTTTGCCCTCGCGGACGTCGCGCTCGCTTCGGTCCATGCCGCAGGACTCCGCCAAGCGCCGGGCCGTGAGCGACTTGCCCGTGCCCGGCGGTCCGAAGAACACGGCGTTGGGCAGCGGCAGCGGCAGCGAGTGGGAGCGGTGCCTGGTTTCGGTGGCGGAGGAAGCAGCACGAAGACCATCTGACTTCTGAGCTTTCGGATTTGCGGGTTGCTGCAGATACAGAGAGTCTGGACCTTCAAACCTGAAGGTGATGCACCAGCAGTCACCAACAATTCTCCACAAAAAGCTGCACACGCGCCAGCACTTGGTGTACCAGTTCCATCCCTGCGCGCGCTTGCAGCAGTTCCACCATCATCACCACCCGTCGCCTCCGCTTCGAGGCCACTAGGGCCATGTCCTCCACGGTCTGTCGTACCTCCTCCGACAGCACCACCTGAGGGCAGTAGCGGTATTGCAGCGCGGCCCCTAGTAGCGCCCTTGCTCCTAGTAGCGATGCCCTTTGCTCCTAGTAGCGTCCTTGTTCCTAGTAGTAAGGCCAGGAGCCCCGTTGCTCCTGGCAGTCTTTGGCATCACTGGTGCACTGGCACCTGAAATCACGACTAGCTGTTCGGCCCTTTTCGGGGCACCGACCCATACGATCGACACGTCGAACAACGGTCCATGCGGCGGCATTCGGTCGCTTGGCCCCGTCAAGGTGTCTCCTATTGGTGGCGAACATGGTTGAGAGATCTGAGGGGTTGACCTAGGTGTGGACCAAATGGATGTATGCTGTATTCACATAAAGATGGCATGCAGCAGAATACCTGGCCGTCCACCCACATCTTCACCGTCTCGTCCCGGGCCGTCCAGCGGTTCCCACCTTGGGCCGATCCATGGACTGTCGATCGCCATCAAAAACTTCTCGCACCGATGCGTCGCCCTGGGCGCGTAACGCGTCCAGCGTCCAGCGGCGCGGCGCGGAGGGCGGGTATGTTTCGCGACTCGGACCGAATGGCGGTATTTGTGTGCATATCAGAACTCGGTGAGTTGGTGCAGAAAAGGACAAGTTGGACGGTATGGATGCTATGGCATCCCAAGAGCATCGGCAAAATAAGACTGTGCCTTTCTGCACAAGCTGGTCCAGTGTTCCATCGCATCGCATAGGCTGATCCAGTGCTGCAGGGGTGTTAAAGGTCTTACAAGAAAGGAAACAAACACCCTAAGACCCAACTCCTCTAGATCACCCAAGAACCACAGCCTCCACCCATTTTCCTCCCACAGCCTCCACCTCCCTCCATCGAACTCGGTTTTTCCCGCCACGTGGCCTTCCTTCGAAACCGCCAGGAGACCGAGGTCTCATCCACCAGCCGTGGAATCCGCATGCGCCGCTTCCTCTTTTGAGAGAGAACACCGGCCAAAGCCAGAAGAGAAGACCAAGGAGAGTAGGTTTAAGATGGTTTAAGTCTACAAGCAAGTAGGTTTAAGTTGGGCACCTCAGTTGGTAGGACATCACCTTTCGGTCGGGAAAAGGAGAAACTGAGTTTCAGCCCGGCCACATGATCTGGTAGAACAGTCCCAGGCCAACCAAAGCAGTGCCTCAGACAAGATGAAGCTGCATGAGGACAAGCACGGAAAGAAGATCGACGCACATATTGCGGCAGGACCTCCCGACTGTACAAGCGACTCAGAGTGGCATTCATCGAAAATGGAGGTGTATATATATATATATATGTAATCATCTTTGCCGGGCTGTCTCAACATGTTCAAGAATTCGCTCCAGAAAGTTTTGCGGAGGTGTGTCACAAGAAACGCCAATGCGCAGCGAGCTTCACCAATGCCACCAGCGTCGATGAAGAACTTCAGCCAAGGGGCATACAGCCAAGAACACGGAGGCGCGATATGGCAGGGACCTCGGTGGGGTTCAAGCCGAGATCGAGCGACCTTCATGAAGAATCCGTTGAATTCGCCTTTTGGGGGTTCCAGGTGGGTACGTCCATCGTTTTGAGGCCTCTCTTGACCTGATGGGCCTATGGGCCTTGCTGCCCTGCGAAACCCTTCTGTTGCCCTCCGCCCAGCGAAGCCTGCTCACCACAGTAGCTTCCCCACTTTGGAGCTACAAGTATCAGTATACGACAACTGGGGTGATGGCGCTAAGTAAAACCACGGGCTTAGCCCGCTGACGGACTTTTGAGCTGCACTTGGACGGCCAGCCACACTTGGATGGCCAAGCGGTCAGAATGCTGGCATTTTGTCTTGAGTTGTTTTGCCTCAAATCTTGACGGTGGAAATCCACCGTCCCTCGTCTTTTGATCCGGACCGGGGTGCAGTTTACTGCACACTGGCATGCAATGTGGCTCAGTCTTTCATGCCCGCGTGGATTCCGGATCCCGAATGCAAAACGGATCTGGCTAGATAAGCAATGCGATGGTTCGACTCAAAACAGTCGAAAGTCCTAAGCCCTAAGCAAAAAAGTTGACAAACTCCCGGATTCCAGGCGAGCAGTTAGGGGCGGGGCCTGCCTCCATTCATTCCAGGGCTTCAGACAGAAAGTTGCACTTAAAGCCTGGTTCGAGCCATCTTTTGCTGGGTAAATACAGGAAAATATCATCGTCGGTTGTCGGGCTTGTGCTATGGCCATGAGTGACATCTTACACATTCACATTGGCTGTGCATTAAGAGTACGGACCCCGCTGCAATAACTGTTGGTGTCTCCCTATTCCAAGCACACCCAGATCGCCCCATCCCGGTCGGCCCCATGTCGGGTCCACCAGCGAAGGCCCAGGTGCTGGTCGAAGTCCTTCGCCATCGCTTCGTAAAGCCGGATCCAGCCACCCACCCTGCCGACTGTTTCGGCACGCGTGGACGATGGACACGGCATGCGACCCATTCGTCGCTTCATGCTGCTGGGACCATCCCCATAGCACCCACCAAAAAGAATCAGGGAGCTCTCACAAATGGTGACGTGGAGCTTGCTCCGTCAACAAAAGCAGCTGTTTTCGGACACAAACAAATTGACAAACAAATTAAGTAGATATGTCACATCGTATCACTTGCATATTGATGTACATGTTGGCTGAGTTTTGCGGGGCCTGGGTGGACAGCTGAAGAATTCAGCTCCCAAAACCTCTTCTCAAGTATTGGGTAATATTGGGTAGATGATGGTGAATAATGAATTGATTGGGTCATCATTGATCAAGTGGTCCATGTGTCGACATACGCAAGACCTACTTGCACAGTGCAAATCCGGTCCTGATGTGTTCAATGCTCTGGGGAATGCCACGATCGATCCGCAGCTGCTCCTAGGGAGCCAGCCGTTTGCAGGGATAGAGATGGAACATTCTCTTTGCAGCAGGACTCTTGGAAATCTGGTGGATTCACGCACCGCTTTCCGGTGCATCTGTTGTACCATTGAGTTCTTGAAGGCTACGCGGCTACACCAGTCTTCAGCACCTCATGCCTCTTGACAATGAATCAACTGCTACCAACTACTAACCCAGCCCCTTCGGTGATCCAAGTGATTCGCTTCACCGTGATCGGCGACTGCCAAATCATGTGCGCTCACGCCTTGCTTCACTCCCTCTCCTGGGCACGTGCCTTCTCGGTCTCCAGACGGAGCATCGTCTCGGGATCCAGATGTTGGACGACCCCAGCAGCCAACAAGTGAGGACCCAGCTGCTTCCAAAAGTCCTCCAGACCGAGCGGCGGTCCCTGTGAGTGTCACATGTGGTCCCCCCACAACCGCTTTTTTGGTGCGGTTGAACAATGGAAAGCCCACCTTAATGGGACAACTAGCCGGAGCGCAAATCAAAGTCGGGACGTAGCAGGTGCTCGGATTGGAGATTTGTTGCGGGGTCTCAAATTACATGACGTTCATTCCGTAACTCTGGGAAATCAATCAGCAAACTGGGGCAATCCCCACTCGAAGTCACAGGCCACTTCAACTTCCATTCATCATCCCAAAGCACAACCAGCATACGCCAGCATACACCCCAGACTGACAGCATTTTGGATGCTAAAATTCACGGTGTTTTCGTCTCTTGTAGCCAACCGGGTAGCAAATGCCAGACAAAAAGTTTAAGCGAGCCAGGCTCGCTGTGATGTGATCAGGGGATGGCCTGGTTCCAGAGTCACAATTCTACGGTTCCAAACGAAAAGTTGTGATCAAAGCCTGGTTTGTTTGCTTTGCAGTTCATAACCTTCACTTCGATCAAAGCCTGCTGAATTTGCGCAGTTGACGACCGCAGCATCTTCAAGCGACCTAGACGACTCCCGTGACGACAAGTTCGGCGGAACTATGTCCTGGCTCTTACAGCTCTGATGTGTTCATCAGAATCTGCACTTTAAGTCGACGTGCGGGTCCCTGTCCGTCACGGGCGAAAGCATGACACTTCATGAAGTCGGAGGGGCACCATCTGCAATTGGCCCCTCTTGTGATGTGGGGGTGCCGTGGTGTCTCAATGACGAAAATGATTCCACTCTGTGGGACATCCGTTTGGGCGAGCGTGATACATCGCCCAGTCGGGCTGACGTGACCCAGTCGGATCACGAGAAGAAGGCGCAGTGGAGGAAAAGCGGAGGCGCCAGCAAAGAAGATGCCCCTTTTTTTCAGAATTGCCTTCGCAATTTCACAACGTACAATATGTATATATATATATATATACCTGAGAAGGGAGGGGACGAAAGCCAGCCTTTGCTTCAAGGGGGGGTGGCCTTAGGGCTAGCCTGGCGCCCCCAGGCATGCCTTTGGGTCAGGGGCGTGTTGGAGGGTAGAGCGGAGAAAGAGTGCTGGAAGTAATGAAGTTGATATTGCAGCCATTGGAGCGCGTGAGATGAAGTGATTGGCTAACATCGGGCAAAGCAAACGTTTAGGTGCTGCAGTTGACATCGGAGCCACTCTGACAGGAGGTAGAAAGAGAAACTATAATCCACAGGTTTGGGGGGGTGCCCTTTTTCGTCGTGGTATAGGGTCGTTTTGGAGGTGAAAAGGGACACCCCAAAAGAAATGAGAGGTGGTAGCTGCCTGTGTGGTGCCAATCATCAGCAAAGCTGGTTATGGGCGAGGTTATTGGCAGGCTTTCAGGAGGAAACATATATGTATATAGCTAGAGTGGAGAAAGAGTAGCCGGAAGTGGTGAAGTTGATATTGCAGCCTTTGAGAGCGCAAGATGAAGTGATGGGTGAACATCGGGCAAAGCGTGCCTTTATGTAGTGAAGTTGATATTGCAGCCACTTAGAGTAGAAAGAGAAAGTATAATACACAGGTTTGGGGGGGTGCCCTTTTTCGTAGTGGTTCAGGGTCGCTTTGGAGGTGAAAAAGTGCACCCCAAAGGAATCTTGCTGTCTGGCCAATCAGTGAGCAAAGCTGGCGAGGTTATCGGCAACTTAAAAAGGGCGCCCCCAAGCAACGCTGAGCTTGCCCGCAACTGCAATCTGTTCTCTTTCCTGCGCTACTCAACCCGCTGCAATCTGTTCTCTCGCATGCCCTCAACAGATCGCATCATGCACCCCATATGGGGTGCCCTTTTGAGTCCGGCAACTAGGCCTCTTCACCATTAAAAAAGGGCGCCCCCAAGCAATTCAAAGCTTGCCCGCTGCATTTTCTTCTCTTTCCTGCCCTCAACGGACCACAGCATTACATGAACTCGCACCCCATACGGGGTGCCTTTTTGCGTATACTTGACAGGCGTCTTCACCATTAAACAAGGGCACCCCCAAGCAACTCTAACATTTCTTGCAAGCCCTCTTTTCCTACCACATCCTCCTACGCTATGCCTGTCTTCCACCTTCCCCACAGCATTCTGGTTCCTCACAGATAAGGAATGTCTTAAGAGACACACACCTCCCTTTCACCCCTTCCTTGTCGAACACTATTTCACTGGCATGAGAGGCGCACATCTCCCTTTTCTGGAGGAGTTCCAACCACTTTCCACGTCCCGTGGTCCCCTCTTTCCTATCATTCACATGAACTCCCACTTTAGTAGAACACGGTTTACATTGCCTCCTGAGCCCCTCGTGATGCTAATGATGCACTACTGCAAGCCTTGCCGTCAAGTCTCAACCCTTGTCTTAATCTACCATTGAGACTGCTATCATCAAAGCCTGGCAGGCGGACAGTTTCGAAAAGGGCGCTGGTTTCGAGGTTGCAATCCAAATCCGGTTCCAGAGTGGGTTCTGTTGCCATTGGGGCCTGGTTCCAAACATTACAAGCCTTGCAATACAAGGTTCCAAAGGTTCGTTCAATGCATCCCCCCTAGACACCACCTTCCAAACCCCCCACGTGACTGGCACCTGACTCTCCCCGCCTGGGCGGTCAGCGTCTCTGTTAGCAGGTCCACCGCGAAGCGTGCCAACTCACGGCCCTTCTGCTGCTGCCGGAGGAAGATCTCCTGCAGAATCTGACTCGCTCAGACCGGGTGGTTCAGAATCTCTATGACTCGCTGTGGATCAAAACCCGGACCCCGAATCCTTGGCGGGTTGACCTCCCAAATAGTCAGTTGTTCATGTTCATGTTCAGTTGTCAACCCTGGGCCCCCCAGTGTCGACCCAGACGCTTCTCACGGCTCAGAAATATGACCCAGACGCATGTCCTCAGCAGAAAACACCCTCAGTCCCTCAGTTCTACCACCCTGGGTTAAATCATCACCATGTTTGGAGAAAGAACTATGTGTTTGGTCTCTTCATGCACCTCTTTCTTTTCCGATAGCTGCCGTGGAGCCAACCCCTGGGCCACAACCGAAAGCGGGGCTAGTCCCAAGCTCACTGTAGAAGTATATAGGGGAGTGCAAGCCAGCAGTGGTGGGATAAAACCTGTCTTTGGTTTGGTTGGTTGGTTGGCGTGTCCAGGACAGCAAGTTCCTGTTGGCTGACAACTTTGTGGCTGGCACATATGAAACACAAATTATCCGAACTGCAAGGTGTCTTCCAGTCTGCGCGCATGTCGTCCATGTGATCGTCCTCCAAGGTGCTGCTCTGATCGTGCTCCAACATGCGAAGGACATCCCTGCGACCAAGAAGTTCAGAAGTTACGTCAGGTGAACCCCATCCTTTTCCCCGGAGATATAGTATGTGAGCCCAGGCCTTTCCCGTTTCCCTCAGGCAGCTACCGCAGCTACCTGACCATCAAAAACAGCTCGGCTGGTGTCACCGAACGGTGCCGTTTCTCTCTCTCTCTCTCTCTCGGATTGGTCAGGTGGGCAAAGGCATCCCGAATTGGGGTGCCACCTTCACCTTCAACCACCGTGTGAGAGCCCCTTTTCAGGACTCCCCTGAACCCAGGGCCTGGCCCGCGGTGCTCTTGAATTCCACATGGGCAAGGGAACACGGAGGGTTCAGTTCTGCAAGTGGGTTCAAGTCTTTGGAGACTGCATTCTCACTCCAAATGCTTGGCATCCAAGAGCTTGTTCACATTGACGGGCCCTTGACATGCCCAAATCATCCAATCCAGTTGAGAGCAGTCTAAGACTAATTGTGGCATTTGCTCATTGAATGAACATAAAACCACGCAAAACAAATGGCCGGCCAAAGTTTGCAGAACGCAATCATGGCCCACCAAAGCTGAGAATCATTCGAGCCACATAGGCTCACATAGGCCTGACACAAATGATGTGACATGGGCACCAAGTGAGGCTTCAGGCCAACAGAGCTTTCGCTCGTTGAATCGGTCGAGCTTGCGTCTCCATCAGCTTAGCTGACGACACAACAGCCCTTGGAGAGCACGAATTGCTGCAGGAGCCAGGGGTTCTCCAGCGCTGATGAGGCATCCTTAGCAAATGAGGCAACCAGGAAACCTACACATAGTGACACATAGTGACACATCCACTACGTCTCTTATCTGTGGGAAAGAAATTGACATCACCTCAATCAGCTCCAAACAAACACATCTTCCCCACTTCACGTTTTTTACATGTAAACAATCGCTTTGAGGTTGGAGGCCATCGCTATCCGTTCGGAAAAAACCGTTTGGAAGACATCGATGAAAACCGTTCCTCCGCTCAGCCGTAGCCTCACAGCGCTCTGGCTCTGGGACGATCATCGCTTGAGCGAAGGCCAAGCCCCCTTGGCCACACTTCCGGTACCAGGCGCTTTCCTCCAAGAGGCTCTCAGGCACCTCTCGTAAACCATCACCACCAATAGGTCCCATCACCAAAGCGATGAACAGCACTCCAAGGCTGTAGACGTCACACTTTGCCTTTCGGTGTTCAAAAGTGCCAAAACAAGCAATAAGCTACTAGGAACAAGTGCATCGCTACTAGGAGCAAGGGCCTTGCTAGTAGTAACAAGAAGCTATTAGAAACAAGAATTAAAAAAGCAAAATCCAAGAGCAACACAGAGCAGTTGGTCTTGGCAGGCCCAAAACGAACGAGTGAACACCGGTCGGTGTCCAGCTTGGAAATCATCGTCACTTTAGGAGGAACAAAAGACTGTGGACATTGTCTATGGGTTCGGGTGGAAAAGAAAAGAAACTATGCAAAACAGATGTGGGTCACGATAGGGGAATCCCTTCACTGAAGACCCTGGCTGGAACTTAGAAAGAAAACCGCACGGATCTCTTCTTGAAAAGGAAGTATACGCCTAGATCTTTTCAGGCCCTTTGGATGCCTTCAAATCCAGAACTCAAGGCTCTTTACGAGTCGGTTGGATAAGAAAATACTTCAGTGTGACTGCCACTGTGACTGCCGTAGAGTTGTCATTCAATGTTTTAAGTTTTAGTGTGTCATTGCTGACCAAAGTCCGAACTTCAAGCATACGTCTAGCCCTACCAAGTGCAACAATTCCCTGATCAAATGATGATTGGTGATGATTGGTGCAAGTGTGTTGCTTGCGTCAAACAGAAAGTCTTCCATTCCAATGCGTAAGTACTTGTACAAAAGGCCAAGCCGGGTGTTTGTACAGTATAGTGCACACATGTGATTATGTCACATATGTCCATGCCTGCTTTCGACATTCCCATTCCATGACCACTTCAGGTACTACAAAGACATGCTTAGGATTTGTTCTTTCTTCTCTCCACTCCCGGTCTCCCCATCTGAGTCACAGTGTAGCTCTTCTGGTACACCTCTGGTGCCGCATACGGCTGGGTGCCAACAGTGTCTGTCATTGGAAGATTTGGGTTGAACTCGCAAGCAAGGTTGAAGTCGGCGAGTTTCCATTGCTGCCGCAAGGAGAGCAACCTTGGCACACCAAGCTTGCTCTAAGGGAGAAGCCATCATTATATCACGAGATTTTAACGAGCTTCGATCGTCAGTATCAGGGGTCTTTCTTGGTCGATTGGAACAATTCATTTCTTGAGGACTATATTCCACTCATCAAGGTCCATAGCACCCCCTTAAGGCTTGACTGAGGGTTGCTCAAACTGCCAAAATTACCACATTGAGCCAGTAGACCACGCGTATCTTTCCCTCCCAATCTCCTCTGCGACCAATATCCGCCGACCCCAGCCTAGCTGACGCCTAGGCGGGGCGGCGCCTGGGACACCGCAGGGTGGAAGCCGTTGCCAGTGGATGTGCCTTGCAGTGTGGAAGCCGTTGCCAGTGGATGGGCCTTGCAGTGTCCAGCGCAGTCGCCCTTTGCAAGCCTTGGCCTGCATCTCTGTTCTATATAGGGCTTCGAAGGCGACGTTAGACATTGGCCACACCAGCCTAGAAGGCCTTGGCTTGCACCTCTTTTCTATAGGGTTTCGAAGGCGACGTTAGGCACTGGCAACGGTCACACCGCCCTAGCAGGCCTTGGCCTGCACCTCTTTCCGCCACCGCGGCAACATTGTGTCCACCAGACCTGCCCATGTAAGGCCCTCTCCCTGGCTTCTATGCGTTTCGAAACTGCCGTTGGCCCGCCCTCAACTCCTCTGCTGCAACATCGTGCCAACCAGACCTGGCCATGTAAGGCCCTCTCCCTGGTTTCTATGCGTTTCGAAACCGCCGTTTGCGAGCCCTGGTGCCGAGCAGACTTGCTTTTCGGAGCGCTGACTTTATGACGTTTTCCTGTTCTGCCTTGCTTTCTTGTCTTCGACATGCCAAGACTTGTTGGAGCATTGTTTCCCCGACGGCAATGCGTGCGGAAGTTGCAGCCGCCCAAATGCGAGGCTGGACCAAACAACGGTTTGGCACGCTGGGCAGGTGCGCGCGTGACGCCTGGTCCCATCTTTGACGTGAAACTGATTGACACACACCGTTCGGTGGTTAGACGCCTCTTTCTATGGGGCTCCGAAGGCGAGGTTAGACACTGCCTGCGCACGCGCGCTGCTCCGTTCCAACCTTCAGGGCCTAGGCTGCTTCGCTGCCCGACACCTGCAGCTACCGGCGGCTTTGTGGCAGCTACCTGGCTGCTTCTGGCACCTACCTCGGGCTTGTTCCCAAGGCGAGTTAGGCCTGTCAGCGGTCCTTCGCCCGGCGACGTTCAGGCCTCCGGGGGCCAGGGTGTTTTGCTGTGGCAAAACCGAGCTTCTGACGTGTTCTTGCGGATTTTGGAGCACCCCTGCACCTACCTGGCAGCTACCTGCTTTTGGCGTCCACCTGGGGCTGGCAACGTCAGACACTGAAAGCGCTCGCGCGCTGCTCCGTTCAAACCTTCCGGGCCACGGTGTGTCGCTGCGGCGCGACCGAGGTTTTGGCGTGGTCTTGGCAAGCTTTCTCTCTGCATGCTGTGAGTTTCAACTTTTGGGAGGGAACCTGAACGAATCCACGGCGACTGCGCACCTGCTTCGGCTGCAAAAATGGGGGTCGGCGGCACCAGGGCGTTAGCCCTTACTGTATAGGTACAAAGATTGACCCCCTTACCAAAAAAGGAAATAAAACACCGAGCACACATATCCAGCGCCCTCCTTTCTATCCTTTTCTTCCTCCTCTTTCACAGCTCGTTGTTTTGCTTCGCCACACATTGGAGGGGTTGATGTCGCGGTGCGCAATGAGCTTCTCATGAAGGAACTGCACCGCCAGCAAGACCTGCTGCACGGTGGAGCCTAACTCCTCGGGGCTGGGCGCGTGATAGACTTTTGCTGGTCCGTAGCGCTCGACCTTGGAGTTCATGTACGTCCTCATCACGAGCCAGTGGGGTGGATGGGAACCCAACTCGGGCCCATGGATGGGTTTGAACTCGGCTCTTCAGAAAGCACCACCCCCTTATGCGTCCACCAAACGAGACCAAACCAGTTGCAACACAAGTAAATTGAAAAACCATGGATGGTTTTCCCACCCTGCCTCATATCACTCTGACAGAGTTCCAGCACGATGTCCATCACACTTCCCCTGGAATATACCTGGGGCCCGCAAACGCGATGTCCAGTTGTTGGACTAGAAACCCCTTTTTGACGGCACGCAGGAGGCAAAATGGTTGTTAGAGTTTGCGGGATTTGTTCTGCCCTGCTTGAATTGCCCTGAATCGTGCAATTAGAGATCATGAAATCCATTTGTGGTTTTTCGTGGGCTTTGGTCCACATCACTCAAGGGGCCCGTTCACAGGCCCCAAGTTTCAATTAGTTTCACATTTGTTCACCGGCTACTTTCTGGTATTCAAATCTCTTGTCACTTAAAGTTATGATATCTATTATCTATTCATATTTTGTCTGTACTTTACTTTCACCTTATGTCATTGGCGCCTCTCCGTTCAATCGGTTGTTGTGGATGAAGGAGGCGTGTTTCGGGTTCCGCACGCTAAGAACACACGACTGTTTCATTTTCATTTCTGTCCAAGGTTGACTATCGTCGCTACGGTAGGCAGCACCCCCCTTTTTCTCAGGTCATCTTGCCAGTGTTGTCTTCAACCTGCCATCTCCAGCAGGATAATTGCGTTGGGTTACCTGCATCAGCAGGCCTGTCACAATCAGACCTTTGTGATATCCTTCCGGTCACTCTGGAAATCACTCCCCCTCCTGGGGAACTTAAAAGTGGTCTGTAAGCGGTCACTCCGCGAACACTGTGACAGATCGCAGGTCTCTGCGCAAGCCCCAGGCTAGCCAGCTAGCCCTTCAAGGGTAAGA